CCGCTGCACGCGTCCCAGGGAGCTGCTCGCCGCGCTGCTGCTCCTGCAGGTAGGTGCGCAGCCCTGCCCGCAGGGACGAGGGCTCCGGCCGCAGCGCGGTGCCTCCGGGGGAGGGGGGCTCCTCTGTCCCCAGGTACCGGGCTCAGGTGTCCTGCAAGGGGGTTTCCAGGAGCCTCTGCTCCTCCTGCCAGGGACACGGGCGTACTCATGCCTGGCAGAGCGCACAGGTGCCTAGCGTTGGGTCTGCTGGATTAACGATCCCCTGCAGTAATTCAGTGGCATTTCCACGAGTGTTTCTGTGGGGTTCGTGGGCTCGAACTAGGTTGTTCCTTCCTAGCAGTGACGATGTCTGGGACTGATACGGCAATGGCCTGAGCCATTGCTGTGCAACTGGAGCACATAGAGGAGTGTGGAAGCCATAAAATTAATTAAAGCTTCCAGTACAACCAAAAGCGGCTACGTGTATATAAAGGGGAAAGCGGCTTGTCTGGGGGGGTCCAGCACAGACAAAGTTGAACCAAGCTGTCAGAGCTGAACCTGGAACAAAGCTTATAAATACTACATGCAAGTGCCAAGTTAAAGCCTTCCTTGCTGTTTTTACATCATAGAGGTTTTTCCCAGGTCATACAACAGCGTTACAGAAAAGCTCCAAGGCGTTACTGATGAGCCCCCATTGCTTGGCAAGTTTATAACCATGACAATTTTATCAGTATTTCGTTTCTTCAGAAAAAGGTCATGGGGTAAAGGCCAAACCTTTGCCCAACTCTACGCAGGAAGAACTCTGTTTCATTTTTGAATGCTACTGGAAACATTTGATGGAATGAGTCGTAAAACCTCAAGCTTTCCAATGAAATCAGTGAGAACTAGGAGGAAGGCATGCAAGTTACCTGTGAGCTAATGGCAATAGTGTAATTTAAGTACTGTCATACTCCTTTGTGGCGAAAGATTTCAAGTAAAACGTAGTGTCTGAAGCTGGTGCAGGAAGCTTGTGCTTAGAAAAGGGCAAATCCTGGCAATTAGGGTGCAGTCACCATTCTCAACAATTTATTTCACTTCTCTGGATTAGAGACTTTGGACCGGTGTTCATCTTCTGGTAAATCAGCTATGTCTGGAACACTTAGAGACACATGACAGAGTCTCTGAGAACCTGAAACACTCCCCACACTTAACTTTTTTCCAGTAGTAGGTTTATGTCCTGCCAATACCAGACAACTTCTAAAGCAGCACTAGTCACAGAGAGACAGAAGTGAATATTTTAAAAACTGGAGATACTTGATTTGAGAAAAGCCATAGAGATAATACTATGGACTGTTAGATGCAGCGTTTGCATGTTTCTGGGACTGGCATCACCTGACCAGAGAAATTAGTATCCAAGCTCTCATGCCAGTTCACTTGGAACGAGATGGATGATATTTGTGGAGTCAGGGTTAGATATGATTTAATACAATGCTGCCAAAGCTGGGTCAATATGTTTCTGTGAAGCCAGCTTCCTCCTAGATAACATATCAACGGTTTCTATTTAACCACACTTCTCACAATCACCTTTCTTTTTTTTTCACAAGGTTACTGCTGCCAACAGTTTTTCTCATGAAATTGAAAATTTCAGTTTAAGACAAGCCATCCAAAAGAAGAGTATTCAGGTTTGTAGTCAATATTATATAGCAACAGATACACAACTGTTAATATGTGAACTATGATACTAAATACACTGCTTTATCCAATAGCGGATAGATTCTTCCCAGTTAGACAGTCTACGTCCTCTACGGCGTACAAAAAGGACCTGGGTTGTCACCACCATTGACGTTCAAGAGGAGGACAAAGGACCATTCCCAATATATGCTGGGCAGGTACAAACAACCTTTTAGTAAAAGTTCTTCTTGAACCTCAGTAAGGTATTCATCACCACAGATTGTACACTAAAATACCAAAGGTAGGAGAGGGCAAGAATTGTGCATCAAACAGTAACTTTTTAAAAAACTTAATTATACAAAGTTGTCTTATTTACACCGAGCTGGGTAGAAGACTACAGCCTGGGAGAAGTAAGAGAGCCATTGCACAGAGCTGCGTACCTGCACACTGTGCACAGTAGTGATGCTGCAACCCAGAAAGCTGTTGAGTTGGCTGAGACCAAGCCTGCAAGCAAGGCCCCATCTGCAAAGGGGAGGTGGGCAGGAACGGAACTGGTCTGAAGTGGTTTTATTTCTTTTCCATCTTATCTACTCACACTGCATTGTGCTACGTCTCTTTTCAAAAGGTGTTCAACAACAAAGCAGTTAATGCATCAGTAAAATATTTAATCAGTGGACCTGGGGTAGATCAACCTCCAGAGATTGGGTTATTTTCTGTAGGAGATGATGCAAATGGACATGTGTATGTACATCGTACCATTGACAGAGAAAAGACCTCAACTTTTCAGGTAACACACTTTAAAAAGTACTTAAAACTGTTTGAAAATATTAATTGCTTTCTCATGGCTAAATGCTTCACAACAATGAGACACACCTATAAGAATTTTAAGTGTATTTTTATGACCTCCTTTTCTTATTGTGAACCTCTAAATAAATGCTAAGATGATTGTCTCAGCAGAGACAACTTCCACATCGCTATCCATTATAAAGCTTTGTGGCATGTTTGGACTTCCACAAATATCTGTACAGTTCTTTTCTATTTTCTTTTTGATACGACTCTTGATCGTAATCTAAAAAATGAAAAGGTTGTCCTGAAATTCAAAGTATGTTACAGCTATAGGGGCCAGAACACTGAGTTGAAACCCCAAAAGCTCCTAATCAAGAGAATGCAAGCAAATAGTTATGCATTACAAAAAAGTAGGTAATACTGGAGGAGCTGCAAAGCTGTATTACTGCAACTTAAAGTAAGCATATGTTTCTCCTTAAAAAGCAGAAAAGTGTTCATAAGCAGTAACTGTAATGAAAGAAATGTGATAACAAGTGTACGAATGAAATATGTGAGTGTGGGTTTGTTTTCCTCTTGCGAAAAATCTTCAGTTGTGGTCTCCTTATGTTTATTCTGTGATGACTTCTATTTGTGTCTCTGTGGATTAACTGTACACAATTGATAGTTACCGTTCCATGTGGCTTTCTGTGCAAGGTCTTGCCTTCCATAATGAAAAGATAAATTTTGGAGAGCCTTCTATTCCCCCTCACCGGACACACGGCTGTTCCAGGGCAGACACTCTGGGCTTGGTTTTAAAGCAGAACTAAGTGTAGCAAAGAAGAATTCAGCATTCAGAATTGAATCCCCTGCACATTCATGGATATAGTGCCAAAATATCATAGAAATGCAGCTAGAGAAAACTGAATGTACTACTTCAATAAATACTTCAGAATTGGGAAGCACATGTGAAAGCATTCTTTTGTCTGGCCCCAGGGATATTTATGTATTTTATATTAGGAAGTCATTTCAAATAACCCAGATCCAGCTCCAGGCACTGATTTTTTTTTTAAAGTATTGTTTAACGCACAGGATGACCATTATGAATCTACTACGTTTGAAAGGTGAAATAATGACTTAGTGATGCAACTTAAAGGCAAATGCTAGCCCAATATGATTGAAGCAGCTTCAAAGTTAAGTTTTTTGTTCCATTCTGATATCTAAATGATACCACTCATTCCATTCTGATTTCTGTGTCGCTACTCATTTAGATACGTTTTGATATTGTGTACAGAAAAACTGGTGAACTATTGGACCGCCCTTTATTTTTCAAGATAAGGGTTAAAGATATTAATGACAATGCACCTGAGTTTCCCAAGGAAGAATATAGCATTACAATAAGAGAGAACCACAGTAAAGGTAAGTGCCATCCAAACAAGGGATACTACTGGTTTGTGTATGACTGCTCTCTTTAATTCCTTTGTCTTTCCTTTTCCTTTCTTACTAAATCTGTTCTTCTCCCTATGTTTTACTTAAACACTCGTGTTTAGGGACTATTTCCTGTGAAGGACTATTTCCTCCCTCTTGACTTCTTGTCTGATTAACCTCAATGCACATTAGCATAACGTTGGAGACATTCTGGAAAACTCCTAAGATATTTCTTCTTAACTGCAAGCCAAGACTTTAGCAGACTGTCATGGTTTATCCCCAGGCGGCAGCTCAGCCCCACCCAGCCGCTCGCTCACTCCCCACAGGGGGATGGGGGAGAGAATCAGAAGAGTAAAAGTGAGAAAACTCGTGGGCTGAGATAAAGACAGTTTAATAGGTAAAGCAAAAGCCACGCACACAAGCAAAGCAAACCAAGGAATTCATACACTGCTTCCTATCGGCAGGCAGGTGTTCGGCCATCGCCAGGAAA